TAATGGAACAGCCCAGGGGTGGGATTATAGAGGGAGTAGTTCGGAGTAGAGGATTACAGGAGTAGAGAATTAAAACAGGTTCAATAACAACTTGTTATTTATTAAGTAAGATGAAAGAGTTTTATGTGTATACAGTAACAACATGATCCAAGCCCACCAATTCAGTGGAGACGGGCAACAGTTATAATTTTAAGCATTTAATATAAATTAATTAGCTAATAAAAACTTCAGTCAAAAATGTAGTTGATATTACAAATTGAGTCTTCTCACTTTATAAGAGATTACAACTGTAGTATATAACCTATGTCAACCTGCAGTAGGAGTATGCCAAATGGCTGGCATAAGAAAAGTAGAGTTTGATACCTCGCAGAAAGGAACCCCACAAGTCTTGCTAGATGGTTATGTCTACAACAATAATGTTGTCCGACAAACTTGCATACACTGGAAGTGTGAAAATCAACGTAGCACTTCCGCAGACAAGATCCGAGGTTGATCTCAACGGCGCCTGGACAGAGACAGCTGATGGGAGATCTTCCTTCTGTTTAGTGATGGGATGACGACAAGATGCTAGTCTTTGCAACAAGTGAGCAGCTCCAGGCCCTTCAGTCAGCTGAAACTCTATGGACGGAACATTCACCTCTTGCCCTGAACTTTGGAGCCAAGTGTATGTCATTCATGTCATCTTCAACTTATCCGCTAGTTAGTGCTGACGTTGTTATAAGACACGTAAGACAATACCAATACATTTATTCAACTTGATCTTAAGCCTAATTAAGCCTAACTAGTCGGACTAGTCCATCCATGTAGAAGTTTTGGCAGGACACCATTCTAACCCGGATCTTCACGGGTAGACAGGATGTAAGCGATGGTATTAAGAAGAATGCCGACTTACAATGTTAATTTTAATAATACACGAAAAACCAATTGTGAAAAAAACAAATATTTTCACCGAGCTGCTTGTTGAATTAAATCGAAGTTAGAATAAAGGCACATTATTTTGCTGGATGTAAGCTGTGAACAACAACATGTATGATATAAGAGCCTCTTCCTGCTGTGGGTTGACTGTGTTGAATATTCCATCACAAGGGATATCTATTTCAAATCACGAACTATGAAGGATCTTTTTAGTAATATAAGTTCTCATTTAATTATTGCATTTTTAAAAGAATTAGATTTGTTAACTGATTTGTAAATAGATTAATATTTTATGATTGGAATTAACTCAGAGTGTTAGTGGCTGTATCCTCGAGGGGGGTTAAAGTACTGTAAAATTATTGTCCTCCTGAGAGGATACGTAAGTCCCAAAACATTCGAAGTAAATTAAAATGTTCCACTTTTTAATCGTAGAATACCTGTTCTTTTAATGTATGGCTAGATTTGCTAAATTACTAGCTGGTGTAAATCCAGCTAGGGTCCATGCAGGAGGCAAATGTACTGTAAGTCCCCATGGTCCCTAGTATGGTGATCTACCTTCAGTTGTTGACAATCTATAGCCCGTTATTATATTGTATTGTCATCTATAGTTAAACTGTTTTAGATTTAATTACTAGTTTAAAATTCATCTCGGTGATAATCTAGTTGTTTTACTGTCCTTCGTAGACATGTTTTTATAATTTACTATTAATTATCATGTATACCAATTATTTGTTCTCGTCACGATATGGCTGAAATATTGCCGATGTGACGATAAAATTTAGCTCACTCACTCACTCCTACTGTGGGGTGTAGCCTTGTGGTTAATGTGTTCGCTCGTCACGACGAAGACCCGGGCTCGCTTCCCCACGTGGGTACACTGTGTGAAGCCCATTTCTAGTGTCCCCCCGTCGTGATATTGCTGGAATAGCGCTAAAAGCGGCGTAAAACTAAACTCACTCATTTAAAAACAAACAATTATGCGATATTGTCAGCTGGACAAAACATATTCGCATAACTTCTTTTCAATATGGTCGTCAATTGAGCTGAATTTGAAGGTGAATAATATGCAGGCTGGTAATTGTGATCTAGAGGAAGAGATGAAAATGACAATTGTGATATTATCATCGTGAGGTTAGAAAACATGTGATTCGCCTTGATATTTCCATCCGTATGGGTCCTTGGTCCTTAGAAACTTTAGACAGGTCAATAAAAGCCATAGGCAAGCTTTTTAACGTATGCAGGTGGATATATGGGACTGAGTATTGATTCTGATCACCAGCCGACCTATAAAATCAGCTTGCATTTGTTGTATTGCCAATCTACTTTATTCCAGCGTATCGTGTATTCCTATGAATTTTCAATTGACAACACAAACTAGGGCAATAACAAGCTATTTGTCCATCTTAATTAAAATTTATAGAGCTGAATTTACTAAGAAATTGAAAATGTGATATTCTGGTTGTGGCAGGTATCAGTACTAGGACGATTTATCTGTTTATGGAAACATATGAATATGTACCTAAAACAATGATAATTGTTCATGACGCAAGCTGTAGCCATTACATAACATACCTAAAAATACAGTTTCCAAAATCCAAACATAAACCATTTCTAACGTTTCACGTTATATTCACATGTTCTTATTTACATTAAACTCCCTATGAGCGATTTTAAAAGTTAAATTCAAATTTAATTTTAAGATAATTTGATTTTAATTTTAATTTAAAAACCTGTAAGCAGATCAATGCAGTGCTTCGATGAAGTCTGGATTAATAAATACACAAGGTGCTCATGACACTTTCGTGGTCAGCGGTATACCCTCGCCACATGTTATTAATTAGCACACACCACGCTATGAAACTATAATGTAACTCTATTACCGAGCCATTGAATTATATGTGAATATGGTAATCTTCCATTCATCTATGAATGAATCGTTAGTAAGGAGAAGATGAAACGTAAATGTATCACCATATGCATTAACCTCTCTCATTTATATTCAGTGTAACTTGAATGCTCGTAAATTTTATAAGTTTCAATTTAATTTGATTTAATAAGTTTCAATTTGGCAGCCGAATGATACCTTTACATATAGGGGTGAGAATGTACGCTTTTACCACGGTACGATACGTATAGTGGCACAAGGCCTTTGGTTCAGTTCGTTTCGGTTCGGTATATAAGATATGATCATAATGCAGAATGTTGACAAGAGCCAAACCTTACATTGTTTAATAACATGGAACAATAAAGATTCGATTTCTAGACATTTTAGAAATAGGTTTAAACAGTTGATAAAATGACGGTACGAAAACCGAATTTTTCGATTGCATAACGGTATACCGAACCGAAGGCAAAATACCGTAGTTCTATTGATACCGCAGTGTAACGTTTCACCCCTATGTATTTCACACGTTGGTGATATGGACCTCAATTTAACACCTTCATTTCCAGGATTTGGGAACTCGTGCCACTTCATGCTGTGTTACTGTCCGCTTGATGTTTTACTGGTAGAACATCCAGGTGTGCGAGTTGCACACGTGAAATTGATATTTCACTACTTCCAGTAGTACGCTTGAAGATTACCCGGCTGTTCGTCAAAAATAGCGAAAAGTGACAACAAAATAATGATCGTTTGTTAAACAATCTTTTTATTCGGTTGTCCAAACTTATGAGACAAATAAATCATCAGAGTTGGTCTGTCGATTCCACGTGACTGTGCAAAGTTTGGTTTTGATGCAACTGTTAGATTTTGTGTTCGTGAGAAATTCATCGGTCTCAAATGAAATCAAACGGACTGCATGTATTTATACCGCTCCTTATCTTTCCACTGAAGCAAACACAGAGCGCTACATTAATACCTCAATAAAGAACTCGGTGTGCCCTCCAAGAGTTTCATCCTAAGCTCCTTGTTCAAAGTGGTGCGGTTGACAAAAAACCCACTGAAGCTTCTAATGACAAAATCACCTCGAAATTGTTTGGTACACTGGGTCTTTTGTTTTTCCTTAGAATGGCGATAAGCTCTTCATAAAATTGTCAAAATATGAACAAATATGTTTGCATTGTCTGACGGTCGTGTATTGTTTGCAGTGTTTTGCCCAAACGGTCCACACAATAAGTGTGTTATTGGGTTTAGTTTTACGCCGCTTTTAGCAATATTCCAGCAATATCAGGGCGGGGGACACCGAAATAAGCTTCACGCATTGTACCCATGTGGGGACTCGAACCCGGGTCTTCGGCGTGACGAACGAATGCTTAACCACCAGGTTACCACACCGCATAGTTAAGGGGTGAGGATGCTTTTATGTCATTAACAGCTTACATCCAGCAAAATAATGTGCCGTTATTTTAACGTCGTTTTAATTTCCCCTTTGCAATTCAAGGTATTGTTATGTCTAGCAGTGTTTTAATTGTGTAATAAGTGTTTTGTAATTTTGTAATAATTTGCTGGCCTTCTATATCCCGTTTATATATTGTACCTGTATACATTGTATAACTGTGATGCTGTAGACAGGCTTGTATAGTCTATATTCCAAATTGCTGAACAGATTACTTTCTGGAACACGGCGCTGTTAAATATATTTAACTATATTAACCTTGTAGTTCTTCGAACTTTATAATGCAGTTCGTTCATCTAGACATTCATTAAACGGTACATGTAGTACTCTAAGGCTTTTCCTTCCAATTCCACCGCCCAGATTACAAGGGTTTCACTGTTTTCGATTTTTCATATACCTTTTCATTCATCTAAAGTTCTAATAATTTCTTCACTTTTTCGATCGGCCAATAATTCCCTATCCATTCTTTCGATTATTTCATTCAAACACCCATTCATCCAAGATAATGATCGCGGGGCCTTTCTCTGTAACAAAATATTTTAGAATTTTATTGATATTCTTATATATTTTATATGTGACAAATGTCAAACGGAAACATGCTTGTTTTCAAAACGCTGTGTAAGAAATCATTCGGAATGGCCGTTGATAAGCGAGAGTCAGCTTGCTTCATTCAACCTAGAGCTAACTAGCGTTTGCTGCAATCGATAAACCGCCAGTGACGTATTCCTCGACGAGGAACTATTTTCGCCGGTGCACGCGTTCCTCTCTCCGCTGTGATGAGGTCGACAGGCACAGCGAAGCGGATGTGGAATACCTCGGGCTGGAGTGTAAACTGATTGCCAAGAATCATGGACGTTTCATAGACTACGTATATACCCCTCTCCCCAAATGGCGGACGACAAAGAAGGTAAGAATCGCAATATCTGCATGGCCGTGGTTTACGACAAGGGCATAAGCGCTGGTCGGTTGCAGCCAGACGATAGTGATTGAAATGTGACCTTCGACCAGTGACCCCTGACCCTGAAATTCTGAGTGGTTAAGGAAACGCGAGCTCGCTGCCGCGACGGCGGAGGAAACGCATGTACATGTAATAATAGTGTTGCCATGACGAATCGTGCTGGGCGGGAGTAGATGTCCTTGAGGGACAAGATGCATAAATCTTCAAAGGCAACAGAACAGCATAATACCGCGGTCTCTTCAACTCCCCCCCCCCCCCAACTCGGTCATTGTGTCTCACGTCTCGCACCTATCCCGCCTCCGTGACTAAGCGGCAAATTAGATGCAGCCTTTGTTTTCATTGTATCACTGAATCTCCCCTCCACTTTACAATGAGTATGAGCTTAAATATCTATTTCAACAACCTGAAACGTAGTATTATCTCAAGAAATGGCCCAGGGCCCCGTTTCACAAAGCTATCGTAGCGCTACGACTGTCGTACCTCCTATATACTGTAACATAGACTTGCGACAGCCGAAGCGCTGCGATAGCTTTGTGAAACGGGGCCTTCGACAATGTTTATTGATGAACTATTCCCACAATACAGGATATGAAACCGATTCTACGTGTATCTCTCAAAGCTGTTGCCGTGCAGTTTATCTAAGTGAGACCATTTAGCAAACTACGTTGGGAACAGGTGTGCAAGTGCGCTTGAAATTTACGAGCAATATGCATTCGCATGATAAAGATGATCTGTTGCCATGGAAATTTCATATTCTCGGTATCTCGTTACAGATCAACGCAGCCCCGCCAAGCGCAAAGGGGTAAGTACGCTGCTGACTAAAATATCATGATTCCTGGGAAAATGTTTATGAACCGTCGCAAATTCAGGAACCATTAAAAGTTGAGAAAGGGACGAATATAGGGGAGAGAGAGAGAAAGAGAGAGAGAGCTACGGAGAGTCACTAATGAAACTACGGAGAGTCATTAATGACATAAGTATGGGGAAATAATCTAATGCTGTATTTCATGTTCTGCAAATTAGGCCAATATGGTAGGATATACTCGAGCCTTTGAAACAAAAGAACGAAATAAGGTAACGATTAATTAACGAAAAATGCTGCATATAGGGTGTACTTATTATAGGTATCACTGTTCTATTTCAAGGGAATAATACTTTTAGTGATACCAAAAAAATGCCAAAAGCGCTTTTCAAGCAATTTTCAGGCTTGCTATAGACGTTACTGAATTTGATCACGTGTTTGAAATTGCGTTTTAAGGTGACTGGACGGTTATATTTAGCAGTGACGATGTTCAGTAGCGCTATATAAATAGAATCTCTCCACGTTGTTTTGTGTTAAGACATGATTGTAATGAACGTACTCGGCACAGGCTGTTCAATATATTTTTATCAGTATCAGTATATTTTGTCTACATGTTCTACATCCGGCAGTGGCATCCTGGTTAGAATTAGTTACAGCGACAGGTGCTGGTTGTAAGGGGCAGAACCGCGGAAATCCAGGTCAGAATTGATCGTCAGCAACACGTGCTTGTCGGATTAGAGGCGACTAACGGGATGAGATGTCCAGTCTCTATGACCTGGCTGTCACCCTATCCCCATTGCCTAAATCAATGCTCATGATGTCAATCACTGGATTATTTGGTTCACACTTGAGTGGAGCATGAAACAACACACAGAGTTCGAGGCGTCTTACCGGCTCGGAGACTTTTTTAAAAATAATTTTATTGTTTTTAAAGATGTTTTACAGTCTATTCCGAAAACTCAACAAAGGACATTCAGGTTACAATACAATACAAGCATATGATGTACAAATCATGTGAACCGTTCATGACATGAAGACCAGAACTTATAAAAGGCGCTGATATTAAACTCCATTAAACAAGAGCACTTTGTTATCATATAATAATGTCTAATTTCATTCTGGAAGACATGGAAAGGTAGCGCACTGTTTTTTAATCTGCTTCCAAAAATTAGGTTTTCAAAGACAATAATAATAATATTGAGAGGGTCATTGTTTTTCGTTCATGGAGTCTCGTAGCCTAACGACGACGATCGGTGCTCATTATATCAACCACTGGATTGTCTGATCGAGACGCGATCATTTACAGTACGACGTCATATAGCTGGAATACTAAACAATTATGCAGAGGTAACCCTGGCCCTATGCTTTGAGACGGGAGGGAATTGAACACAACCCTAATTAACAGAAGTGTCCACAAGCGATTTCTAATTTTGATATTTCTATACAGGTTTGCAAGTAATTATTTCATGCTTGCACACTACCAAATGCGGATCGGCAATATAATTCGGCTTCCCCTCCGTTACAAGTTATATTCCGACAAAGTTTTAATTTGTGACCTGAAACTTTTCGTAATTCCCGACTCCAATACAAGCGGTGTTCAGTAAAGTGAGCCCCAATGGGTTTACTGTTGTCTGTCGGAGAGTCCCTGAACCTAGTCTGACTCACAGTCCCTGAAACACATTATTTTCCCTACTGCCTAGCCCTCCCTTCAATGCAAAAGCCCTAAATGAAGCAAGTCTCGAATTCCTTAAGTTCCTCCAGTGCATGGAGAAAGAAGGGGTATGTACCACGGGAATAAACTCCTAAACACTTGAGTTTTATACCATGTGTATCTGTATATAGAGGTACATCTTCGCTAATAATCGGAAACACTCGTTACAAACACTGTGACGTAGTTTTCACGTGCATTTCATGAACTCTTGTTTCAACCAGGGACGTGTGTGTGTTTCAGCATCGGAATAGCAATGCATTTGTGCCTGTGTTTCTTTCTTAGATGGAATTTACCACAAGGAATAGTGTTACACCAACAAAATAGTAAGCATCACTATATATGCAATATTAAAAATGTGTTACACCAACTAAATGGTGAGCATAACTATATTTATATCAATAAGCAATATGAAAAATGTGTGTTACACCACCTCAATGACTCGTGAAGATCCAGGGTAGAATAGGTCTTCACCAACCCATGTGCTTGCCATAAAAAGGCGACTATGCTTGTCGTAAGAGGCGACTAACGGGATCGGGTGGTCAGTTTCGCTGACTTGGTTGACACATGTCATCGGTTCCCAATTGCGCAGATCGATGCTCATGCTGTTGCTCACTGGATTGTCTGGTCCAGACTCGATTATTTACAGACTGCCGCCATATAGCTGGGATATTGCTGAGTGCGGCGTAAAACTAAACTCACTCACTCACCACCTAAATGGTAGCATAGCTATATCTATACAAATATGCAATATGAAAAATGTCTTTTATTTTTGAATTTTGATCAATATATTTCATTATTTTGTTACGCTTTCTAACATATTTCCTCTATGTAAAGGGAACAATATTGTGTTCTAGAATAGGTAATACGCTAACACACGCAGTAAGCCATGTTGAAGGATTAAGAATACTGAAACTGTATGTTCAAATGAACACTCGTGTAAGTCCCAAATTAAACTAACAGTAACTAAAATGACTTCAGAGGAATTAATACACGAATACCTAACATTGTTCTTACATATTAAACCAAGAACCAAAAAGCTCTAACTACTTTTTTAAATAAACCGCCAAGTTTTTTGTCTCCTGCATTCTTAAAGCCCATCTTCTCTTCTCTACATGCTCCTTTTATGTTCTTACCTCTTTTATCACTGTGGGGGTGGTAGGGTAGCCTAGTGGTTAAAGCGTCCGCTCGTCACGCCGAAGGCCCGGGTTCGATTCCCCACATGGGTACAATATGTGAAGCCCATTTCTGGTGTCCTCCGCCATGATATTGCTGGAATATTGCTAAAAAGCGGCGTAAAACCATACTCACTCACTCACTATGAAAAACAATCGTACAAAGTTACCTATGTTAGATCATCCAAATACCCAAAGGAAACCTATATCTATAGATATTGACAAGTGGATTGAAAATACTGTGTTCAAACTGCCAAGGATTAAACAATAAGAAAAAAACGACTAAATATTTTTCAAAATATGAAATAGAAAAATGCTAGCATATATTGTCTTCAGGATACACATTTTACTTCAGAACTAGAATATAAAATTAAGGAGAATGGGGATCTCGTAACTACTGCTTCAGTTCGTATAGAAGCAACTCACGATGTGTAGCAATCCTCTTTTAATGAAGATTTTCATTGTACAAGCGTTGAAGAGAAAGAGATGAAAATAATGGCAATTATCTCATATTGAAATTAAGGCTAACGGATAACACCTTCACCTTAGCAACTCTATATGGGCTGAGAAATGATGACCCATTATTTTTCGCCAACATTATTGATATTATTGAATCACTTGACTCTGACTACTATAACATAAACTGACGCACAAAAGAAAGCACACACCTGTTTTTTTGGATTATTTGAAAAGTGTTGTGATTTTGACTGTCAACTTCACAATTGGGCACGATATCTGTAGTGTTTTGGCAACATATTAGGAAAGTCTGTGACTTATATATCATTGTAAAAACTCTTTTCACAACATTTACGTCGCTTTTTGGAAAGTAATCCAAAATCACTGTGTGTGTACTTTCTTTTGTACGTCAGTTTATGTGGAGACTGAAATCTTGTACAAAATCTGGAGATTGACACTTTCAACTAAAAACATATTAATAATCCAAACGCAAGACTGTCAACTTCACAATTGGGCACGATATCTGTAGTGTTTTGGCAACATATTAGGAAAGCCTGTGACTTATATATCATTGTAAAAACTCTTTTCACAACATTTACGTCGCTTTTTGGAAAGTAATCCAAAATCACTGTGTGTGTACTTTCTTTTGTACGTCAGTTTATGTGGAGACTGAAATCTTGTACAAAATCTGGAGATTGACACTTTCAACTAAAAACATATTAATAATCCAAACGCAAGACTGTCAACTTCACAATTGGGCACGATATCTGTAGTGTTTTGGCAACATATTAGGAAAGCCTGTGACTTATATATCATTGTAAAAACTCTTTTCACAACATTTACGTCGCTTTTTGGAAAGTAATCCAAAAACACTAGGTGTGTACTTTCTTTTGTACGTCAGTTTATGTGGAGACTGAAATCTTGTACAAAATCTGGAGATTGACACTTTCAACTAAAAACATATTAATAATCCAAACGCAAGCGAAAAGGTAATTGAATTCATTGAAGAACATAGTTTAATAGATCCGTGGAGATTAACCAATGACACGTCAAATAGATACACTTGGAGACATCCCAATCCTGTTAAACAGGCAAGATTAGATTTCTCTTTACACTAAAAAAACTGGTATTGATCCTGCTTTTAAATCTGATCATTCATCAATCTGGCTAATTCTGGATTTGTGTGAAGTAGAAAAAGGTAGAGGTTACTGGAAATTTAACAACTCATTACTTAGAGATAAAACCTATGTTGAAAAGTTAAAAGAAACAATAAAAGATACTAGTAATCAATATCAAAATGGAATTAATGATGACGGCAATCCGACATACAGTATAGACGATCAACTCCTCTTTGAAACGCTGTTAATAAAATACTCTTCTGAGAAAAAAAGAGAAAAGATTGAGAAAGAAATAGCAAACATAGTAGAAAGTCTCACGATTGAACTAGACTCAGCTAAAGAATTATCACAAAAGGAAGACATTCAGTCTAAGTGAAAAATAGAAAATGAAAAACTTATCGATATTCAATCGGTGAAAACTGAAGGTATTATACTTCGATCAAAAGCTGAATGGAACGAAAAGCGAGAGAAACCAACAAAATATTTCTTATCACTAGAGAAACGTAACTTCCTGAATAAGGGGCGGTGGGGTAGCCTTGTGAT